TGGTGTGGAGAGAGCATCCAAAAAGTTCTGTGCTCTATAATTTAGTTTCTGGAGAGGATGAGAAGCCGTATTAATGCCTCATTCAGCAGACTCAGACTTACACTCAGATCACAAAAGTGAAAGGAAGACAATTATCTCTGGGCGTGATGGGTGAAAATCTAATGGGCTGTGTTGACAGGGTGAGAAGTGACAGAAGGAATCTGATAGGCCTTTATGAGTTTCAATGCGGGGTCCAGTAACCCATGGAGATGTTCAAAGGCATTGGTAGGCTAATCTTTAGCAGCCGTGCAAGTGTATCTGCTTTGGTGCTAAAGAAGTTAAACAGTGTCAGCCTGTTGTCACAGCGCCACATCTGGCGTGACCTTGTTTATAACTCTACAGGTTCCAGATTTTAACATCTAAACTTAGGTGAAGGGATGTCAGGTGATGAAGTCTGAACTTGACAAGTAAAGAACTGAAAAGTCCAAAACATCTGAAGGGAGTGGCAGCACAGAAACAGAGAGGCTGCCACGCAGGCTGTAGGCTCACAGCCTTTTAGGCTGACCAAAATCCTAACTAAATATATTTGAGATGATTCTGTGCCCGTTTCTTAGAAACACAATGGGGAAAAAAAAAAACAAATTTAAGCACCTGGCTCTCTGGGAAAAAAAAAACCCAAATTTAAGCACCTGGCTCTCTGGGAATGCTTCTCCACTTCACTCTCAGTCACGGAAAGTCATGGATATTTAAATAAGCAGGGATCTCTGGTAGACAACAGACAACTTGTCCAGGTATAGTCTTGGTCGAGTAGACATTTATTGGAAACATATTTTGATTACTTTCCATGTGTACACAGCCAATCCTGACCGTGGGTTAGAATTATTTGGGGCATTACACTGCAGGAAAGCTGAAGTTACAGTCTCACGTGTCCTGAAGTGTCTTTGTTTTCACTGGCCCAGGCACATCCTCAGATGTGAGCTCTGTATTGTTACAGGTTTTGAAGGCCAGGGGTTAAATTAATCCCAAATGTTTGCCACATTCCTCATGAGGTCACCGTTCATCTCTCCCCACTTATACATGACAATATTCTCGCTCAAGTAAATTTATTCTGGGCTCCTCTTGTGGTCGACCAATAGAGTAAACAAATACATCAGCAGAAGTCAGGCAATCAGTCATAACCAGGGATAAAATCACTCTGGACAAGAGTGATGTTGACTAAGCAGCAACTTTGTGTTTATGGCCAGTAATCACTGTTTAGGAAGCATGTACTGATTAATGTTCCAGAAGACAAAGGAAGTACTTGATGCTGTGAATGCTCATTAGTCTAAATATTTGATCTCTCAATCGGTAAAAAAAAAAACAGGCCTTGGCGGAATTCTTAAAATTCTGAAGTTGGATCAGACTTTGTTGTACTACAAAAACATAAAATTAAAATGTATTGGTTCAAGCATGCTTAGCCTCACTGACTTTGGAAACAACCACTACACCTGACTATTTAAAGTCAACAAGTTAGGCTTAGGCTAACATGTCAGTGAGTTTGTGATGTAGGAAAAAGCTATGTTTGTACCACATAAAATTTGAATTTATTATTAATGAACTTTACCCTTGCCTAAAACATCTTTATACAGTTGGAGGAATGAAAAAAAAAACATTAGACTAATTCAATGAGGGTAAAATTGCATCTTGTGAATTTTAAACTTTGTGCTGGGGATTTAAACATTACTCTGATTGTTTACAGTATGTAATTACAGATCTTATCATAGGAACTGAGGCAGTTGGAGCTGAAAAAATGTCTATAGGAGTCATGGAAGAAAAATCAAGCATCTGGACTTCACCCAAACCCTCCTCCGGGGAGTTGAAGAATGTGTACATCTTATGTTTTCCAGCTCCTTACAGAAAGCTGTAGAAGAACCAAGGTGCTAACCTCTGACCCCAAACCAGGAATCCATTAATGTGACACGAGTGAACATTTATCTCCATCAGCAAGATGAATTGGCTCCTGTCATTTACCCTGAGAGTCCCTTGAACGAGGGCTAAAGGGAGTCATTGCAAGTTTATTTTAGCTACCTCTCAACAGCGAGCCACAGAGCTCATGGCAGCACTGGAAATGCCCTTAACCACACTAATTATTTTAAGCCAATATTTAGGATCATTTTTCAGGGACAAACAATATTATTTATCACAACAGAGCACATTCAGCTGCCAAACAAAGTAGACAGGCCACAGTTATGGCAAAAAAAAAAAAAACAAGCTCTGTGAGACGGAGACAGACTTGACCACTGTGTGCACTCAGTGGAGAACAAGACCCTTAGAAGGTAAAGCATGTCCACTAATCTCCTGATGATGTGAATGTGTTTCTTTCTCCAACTCTCCATCTTGTGTCTGCTCCATCCAGAGATTAGTGAGACCCTCGCTGTTTTTGACACTTAATGGTGCTTGGCCTATGGCCCCAGGTACAGAGGCTGGTGTCGGAGTGTTTAGTCTCCCCAAGGCAGATTAGCTGCCCGAGTCAGGCGAGACAAAGACAAGGCTACTGCTCTCACACAGTGTGTCTTTATACCTGTGAAACAGTGATATAGAGCTAATCTGTTGCTCCGGTGGTCTCACTGGAGGTACACACATGGAAAGTGGTGTCAGTGATCTAACAAAGGGAAATGAAAACCTTGGTAATGGGCACTAGCCTGTAGGAGGAGAGTTGTGTACAGTATTTCACACTGTAGTCAAGTCAGTAGAAGTCAGGTACTAAGAAGTACTTCAGACTGGCCCCTTCATGAGGGGGTTGCCACGCAGTAGTCCAGCTATTCATTTAACTATTATATTTGTTCATAAACCAATAACATTTGATCAGACAAGTTGAATTATATGATGGTTGTAACAGTAATCTACTCCAGACTCACTGCATATCCTACATTTCTGTGTTATATTTTGAGACTATCAGACTGTAATTAGGATAGATTTTTTTTGCAGACAGAGAATGTTAAGAATGTAATTTAAGTGATTTATAAACTAGTGAAACTTGAATCTGAACCAAAGGTCAAAATTACATCAGCACAGCACCACCATCAGCATGGCTAAACACAGACAAACCCAGTAAAAATAGAGCTCTAACTGCCTTTCCTTGAGCATATTTAGAAACAGTCTGGTCAAAAAGCCAAATATGTGTCAGTTCTGTCCCCAGTGCTAACTGACCCTCGGATACACACATAACAGAGGGCCTAACTTCTAACTCCAGGGGCTCTGGCAGCTGACTCCTGTGTGCTGAAAGAATCAGGGAGTGTATAAAAGAACTCCCTCAGCCAACGTAGTGTGAGAGGAGGGGAAGCATGTTAGGAATATTTTCCAAACTGTTGTGCTGGAAAGGGGGAAACACTGAGCTGTTGGGCAACAGAGCTTTGTGCATGGGAAAAGTTGGTTTCCCAAGTGTTTGGAATGACCTCTAGATTATGGTTCAATACAAAAATGCTCCAATGTCATTTAGAAAATTTGGCTGCCATCAAATACATCCATAGAGGTACAAAAAATGGTAGAGATTAGTGAACAGCACACAATACAATGCTTCTGGTAATAATAATAATAATAATAATAATAATAATAATAATAATAATAATAATAATAATAATAATAATAATAATAATAATAATAATAATAATAATAATAATAATAATAATAATAATAATAATAATAATAATAATAATAATAATAATAATAACAGTGTCTGTAAAGTTGCTAAAGATAATTTAATCTAACTCTTCTCTCAGGATTGCACATTGTTTTCCAGGCAAGACTGTTAATTAAGACTGTATCACTTACTTTACTTTTAATCACATAAAAAACAAAAACGCGACCTGTACAAACACCTGAGTCAGGCTAAATGCAGGGTGACAGGTCCAAGCAAAACAGAACATGACCCTGAAAGCAGCACAGAGAGTAAAAGCTTTAACATCTATTAGGAAAGACTAGGGAGTGTTCCTGTCTGATAGTCAGAGACTTGGACCTGATGAACCTCTGTGAGGGAAAACAGACACTAGTTAGTGCGTGTGTGAGTGTGTAGATGTGTGTGTGTGTGTGTAGATGTAAGCACTCATGAAGAAAAAAGCCAATACAAAGAAGCTATCAACTCGCAAACCATAACTACTCAGGGTGAAAGCCGACCTGGATCCTAGTTCTGATAAATGGGTTTGAACAGAGATAACAGTCTTGACTACACTCCACAGCTCACACACACGTGGAATCATTGAATTGTTTTGGCAACTTCAAGTTTCATGCTTATAAATCCACACGGTTTTAATCAGGTAACGGAGCCCTAAATGAAATAACACTCGTGTTTTCATGTCAGTCTTTATTTCCTGTAGAACAGTCATTTCCAAAGACTGGTTCAGGATCAGTAATCAGTTCTTGGAGATTTATTTCTTCTTCCTTCCCAAAAATGTACACACTTTTTTTTTACCTTTTTTCTTTTTTGTATAAATGTTTGATTAACGTTTGTATATTTTAAAAGAAACCACAGAGCTAAAATAGTTGTTTAGATTTGATACATTTCAACTTCAAATTCAACCTTTGTAAACTGTTTCAAGATTTTCCATCTTTAAACTGTAACACGTTTTATTTATTAGAACTTGAATGTTAGTTCAAGGAAACTAGAAATCATATTGTATTGATTTCTTTCATGTTTTATTTGTACACCCCTAAAATTATATTAGAAAAGAATTAGAAAGGAAATGATGTGTGACTGACTAGTAACAGAAAGGATCCCCACCTTATTTAAGTCAGCAAATTAAATTAGCTTGCATTTGGGTTGGAAGTCTAACTTAGGTGACAAACAGCTTCTATGCTAATGGAGGACAGCCTGACGTAATGGAACTGTAGAGCCACACAAACACTCTGCAGATGTAAAAAGAAAAAAAAGTACTGCAACACAACAACTAAGCAGCCACTACAATAAAAACAACAGCTGATGGAAGAAGGTGAGAATGGGGGGAACAGCTCCTGCTTAGAAGATGATCTCATCTGGTGTGACTCACCTTGGTTTCCTAAATATCAGGCCATACTGCTGACAGGCCAGGCCAACAGTGGGGGTGTAGATGATGGGCATGAACCTCTCGATGTCCGATGTCAACACGCGATAGAAGAGCTTCTCATTCCTGTCCTGGAGACCCATGAGGAACACATATCTGAGAAAGATAGAGAAAAAGTAGCACAGAGGAAAACAAGGTTAATTTGATATTTAGTATGATGGTAACTCTATGGAAGAACATCGAAAGACATAAAAGGCAGCGGTCATTAGACAGAACCGGAAAGTTGAGAGAAAACAGAATGAAAATACCAATACCCTACGAAGGTTTGTTATGATTGAAAGTTAATCTGGTTTGCACATGCACACACACACACACGAACACATACATACCAGACACAGCTCCTTTCCTAATCAGTGAATTTTCCATAAGGCCAAGAGCACAAGGTGCTTCTTGTTGAGGGTTTACCCCAGAACAAACTCCACTGTGGCTTCAGCCTGAACAGCTGCACAGGACACAGTGTTGACAGTTGATACTAAAGAGAACCGAACAGGCGTCTGTCACATCCAATTATAGATGTGAAAGATTCTATATGCTGTACCAGATACAATCAAAGGGACGTTTCCACACTGATTATTAAGACATGAACCTTTTGGATTTTACTGAACGCCCAAGTGCTTTTGAATGTGTTATACAAGAAAATCTAACATCAACATGTAAAAAAAAAAAACCATCTTTTCATCAGCAGCTGCACAAACAACCACACATGAAAGACTCGGGATGTAATTTCCATTCTTTTTTACGTCATCTGAACATAGTGACATATGTACCTGAAAAGGCATGCATGAGTTTCCTTTTGTGATGTTTTTTCTGCACATGAAATTTAACCATGCAAATTGAGTGAGTGTGCATGCAAACTGAAACATTTCTACTGGAAACACTTGAGTAAAAATGCAAATACAGTAGCTTAAAGGTTGAAGAATTAGGCAACTGGACATGAATTTTCTAAAAGAAGTAGCTTAAAGGTAATCAGAAGATCAAAGTTTTGATTCTGGAATAAACGAGTTTGTTACAAAATAAAAGCCTGCTCACAAACTGGCACAAATTAAAGAATTATTTTTCCTCTTCTGCACCTTAAAATACTTGAACACGATCCACCCAAGAACAGGAACATTTATAGAGTATTTACTTCCTAACAGAGCAACAGACCTTCAGACTTCACAAGTGCAGTGTTTCCTTTAAAGTCAAGCAACCAAACGAGCCAAGATGTAATCTCCATCCTGATCTATTGTAGCACCAGCCATCAACAAGTTCTGCTCTGTCAGGGTTTTTTTTTTTATTTTTAGCTTTTCTTACTGCTATCTTACAACATCAACAACTACAAATTTTGTCCTATTGGAACAAAATATATTGCAGTGTTTTCACTGGCAACGATTTTCCCCGTCCATTTCCTTTGTTTGCAGGTGTTGACACAGAGAATAGATTGCACTTCTCCTCCACAATCACACACTTCTAGTTAGACTCATGGCTCGTGCTCCGGGACACATGAGCATAGGATCAAACCACAGTCTTCCTGACTAAAAGGAAACATGCCCTCCTTTATTACTCCACAGTTGTCCATTTATAGTTGCATAGTGTCCAAATGTGAATACCAAACCAGGGGTTGGGACACAGGGGACATTCTTTACAGCACACTATAGGAAAAGTAATGGAAGGCCTTCATCTACTGGACTAGAGCCAGAACACACAGAGTAGCTACCATGAGAACAACACCGACAACTCCATAGTGACTGCAGTAGTAGTTTGTTGTTGCTGTGGTGTAAACAGGGCAGATGTGTCTCCTTCACTCATCTGTGACATCAGTGGTGACAGGCTCAGCTGAGAGATGGAGATTAGAACAAACTGCGAATTCTACCATGTGGTCCACTGCTTGTGTAATAAAAGGAGATACAAGTCCTCAGAGTCTAATGGAGCGTGAATAATGGTACGGAGGTTCTCATTTGGTCACAGTGGAGGTTGTTAAAACACACAGAATAGTTTTGTGAAGTATATGGTGATCATGGATGGATGGAGATCTCAGAGGCTAGATCGCTAACACAACCCATGTGACTGGACAGCTTCCAGATGTCTCAGTGTAAAGGAGAGGTAAATGCTAGCTAAAAATCACCAAAAAATATTTAGATTAATATAAAATAATCTAAATAATTAGACCAGCACATGCACAGGATGCATGTCGTGACACAAAACACTTCCTTGCTGTGTCAAATGCTGATATTTGATCGAATGCTTTTTAAAGAAGTACTAAAGGTTTTAATTTTAATCACAACATCAATCACCTGTACTTTTCTTACCTGTCCAAGTCGTCTCTCTTCATTTCATAGTTCTTGAGTACTCGCAGCACCTGGACGTCCTGGCTAATGAAGCAGGGAGGCAGCAGACCATGGATGCCCAGCTGAAGGCGCTCCTCCAGGGAGAAAGCCATACCCTGAACACAAACAATGTTATGTCAGTGTCATAGTTAATCCAAACCTGGTCAGAGAAGTCGCAAAGATACGTTCAATCATCTGTATATAATGACTGGATGGAGCGATGTCTGTAGAAAGTCAAGCTGCAAAAATGGCCAGTGCTGCTTTTCCCGGTGTCATGGTTTGTATATTAGTGAACGTTGTTTTGTTGACTCTTCAGTCAATGACAAATTATTGAATGTCTTTAGGTGAAAAAACAGTGCATTTATTATTATTGTTATTATTTTACCAGTATACACAACATATTATACAAATTATATACAATAATCCAACGGAATTATTGCTGCTGTCTTGGTATCCAGATAACTCCAAACCTCAGACATAGGCTCTCTCTGACCTCTGACCTCTTTAACAAATGCACATGTAGTAAAAAGTCAATATATCGTTCTGCTCAAACATTCCTGTGTGACAAGGTTATTAAATGAGTTTGATCTGTTGTGTGTTTGCTCTCAGAGGTTCCTGCTTTTCTATAATCTGTGTTCAAAGAGGCCTCTGGGATCTCACACTCTGGTGTGATGTCTACTTCATATAGCCTTTAAACCCACTGCCAGGCCCAACCTAATAACCTGCTACACTTTGACCTTTACTTTGGATTTTAGCTGGCTCACCCTTGAACCCTGGACAGAAAAAACTAAAAAATCACGAGCTATAGCACCAGCACAAGTCGCTGACCTCTGATCCTGTAGGCTTTTTCAAAAAGAAGATGATGATGTCAATGAATATGACATGTTTTTCCATTCGGGGGGTGAATAGGAGGCTAATGTTTCATCTAAGGCTCAGCTGCATTCAAAAAGTAAAGAAAACTTTGTCCCCAAATGACCAGTGAGCCTATATTTAACAGAAAACAACGCTCCTATTCTCTGCAGGAGTGTGAGGATACGACTGCCATTTAAAATCCTCGCTCCATCTTTTAATTTACAGCTTCCCCGGCAAAACCTCAGCTTGAACATGCCAGTTTAAGTTTTGCTGAATGCTGAGGCACAGAGCTGTGCTGTGCTGAAACCAGCTCCATTTTGGATCAAATCCACAGACACTTGGCTCCATGGCCACCCGACCCGGAGTCTTTCCAAGCCAACAGCAGTTTCCGTGTATATGGTTGTGTTAAACAGCGCTGAGGTCGTAAAATATGTGCTTGATGTCACAAGATGCAACATTAGAAAGCAGCACAAGAGTATATGACACAGAATGAGGCATTAGGAGGAATATTTTCCAGAAAAAGCCAACGGTGTTGTTCTGGACTCTACATAGGTTAACACACGCTAGCATGCAAGGATAATTCCTTACAAACAATGTTTAGAACACAACACAAAATTATCTCAGCAAGTCTGCAAAGGGCCATCCGTTATTTCAGACGCTGCAGTACAGGGCCTGATCACATGTCATTCGTTCAGAACCGGCACAGTCTGTACTTAACGGACCTCAAATAAGCAGAAGCAGCTCTGAATTACAACCTTCCCCAATTATCAAAAAAGATTTTCTATTTTTCAGAACGCCAGCTGCTCACTTTATGCTCCATGTGTGCCCCGGCTGCACCGCTGCTGTGCAGTCTGCCACAGCTGACCATGAGGAATATATGGAGGAAATGTCTTAAAATACTCCAGCAGAATTGAGCTTAATATGAGGCTGTAAAATGAGATCCATTCCTCACGTTGACTCGCGCTGCTCTTTCATTAGTTCAGATACTCGCAAAGCAGCACTTTGTGGCATTTTCTTGTTCCTTTTCCTGTAAAGGGAAGGCAGTTCCTGACACAACTAACAAACATTAAAATCAGCAGAGCAAATTTGAAAGCATAGATATCATCACGCCACTGGGACCAAAATTGACAATTACATTTTCCACAGAGATTCCAAGGGCTTTAGAAAATGTAATTATGATAAACTGGCCAAAAAAGTGATAAAAAAAGTGTAACATTATGTTCAAAGATTAAGCTGATTTGTGTCAGAGTTGGGCATGTGACAATGTAATAAGAGCTAAGTGTTGGCTCGGCAGAGTTTGTTCATACCTGTTATAATGGTACTTCTTTCACAGGGATCCAATCACAACAAGAGTTTTAATTTACAAACTTTTGACCAATATTTAAATAAACCTGTGATTTATTGATTTCAATATCAAACTGAATAAACAGACCCATGACCTTTTCTAATGCACCACTCCAATCCAGCTTATTCAGACCTTTTAATGTACTACCAAGTTTAGTTCCAACACAGGAAAAAGCCCCAAAGCGAGATACTGCTACCACATGTGGTCACAGTGGGTATAATGTTTGTTTAAATTATAGCACTGTATAAAATTTTCCTGGGCAATGTCAATTGATGCTGGGTTGGCTTTTTGCACAGAAGGGCTTTTTATTTTAGGATGAAAAGTCATGAGCAACAGCCGCTGCAACTCCAACGTCTTCAGATTTCTTGTGATTAATCAGAGGGTAGCTGTGGATTAATCATGATTAGTGGAAATTAATTGTAGTTATAACTAATCATGATGAATTTTAAAGACAACATTCCTATATATGAATTGCTTTTGTATATTGTTGACACATGACAGTAGGTCATGTATATGTATATGTATATGTATATGTATATGTATATGCATATGTATATGTGCGATTAATCCAAACATTGGAGGTATTAACATGGAAAAATGTGTTTGACCTAAAATTGGGGAGGGTTGGGTTAATTTCCCAAATTAACCAACTAGCATGTTAATTTTTAGCTAAATTTCTAAATTTTGTAAGGAGATTCAGTAGCCTTGAGCTGCATAAAATGTGACGGCACTGTAAAAACGGAACTTTCCCTTTATGCTGTCCTTTTGACTTGGATCTGTGAAGTACGAAGCTACGTAAGTCAATGTAAACTTATCTTATCTATTACAGTGCACATATAACAGTGCACTCTCACACACCCAAAACACACAAGCATACACACTCTTGGTTGTTTTTTTTTTACACAAACAAACACACATTTGTTTGCCTGAATGCAGGTTTTCAGTCGGCCGTTGAGCTCCCTCAGCTCCTGGGGCAGGGCAGCCCAGACTTTAGAAAGCTTCCACATGTCCACAACCACATCTGAAGTGGCCTCACCCCGTGCCAACACATGTAACGCCCGCAGCTGCATGTTCCAGAAGCAGTGGTCACAAACCAAACCTGTAATCTCCCCACTGGGCAGTGCCACCCCTTAACCTCGGACTGCTGCCATGCCCACCCCCAAAACCAACCCGTGGGGAGGAAACAGCCCATTAGCTCGCCAGAGGGCCAAACAAGAGAGATGAACAAACCGATAAAATGCCTTTCTGTGTTTCTGAAGCCCGTTCAAAGAGCGGGTCTGTTGCAATTTTGCGAGCATAAAGATTTAGAAAGTTAAACACTCAGCGGCCTCTTTCATCAAACCTGCCTTTTAATTTTTTTTCTGCCATAAACCAGTGATGGTTTGGACTAACAGCAGAGACACTCCCTTCATTACAGTCACCAGGGGAAAGTGTTTTGATTCCATGATACCACTGAAGGTGTGGCTTTTCTTATCACAATACTAACACGGTTAGGTGAGAACTCTCTCTCCAGACATAGTCAAATAACAGTGTTTGAAGAAAGTATGCTTTGGTGACAGTGCTTGGGTGTAGATGTTTTGATTTAGTGATATTTATGTAGTAAATTAACAGTTGTCTGATTTGTTTTATCTTAATTTCCACACAATTCACACAAGTATTTTATTTGTGTATTTCCTATTAATTGCAATGTTTTTTTCAGACCTTTCTGGTCAGAAATGGCGACCAAAGTGTTGAGCTTTTTTTCTTTTTCTTTTTTTTTTCAGCCAATGGTCAAAAACTGCATTTTGTTTATACATTTTGTGTATTCACTTGACTGGAAAGGCAGTTTCTACACAATGTATCAAAGACTGGAAGACAGTGGCCATAATGGGTTCTCACTGTGGAAATAAACATAACCATCCCCTCTTTCAGAAGTTTCTTTTCTCTCCTTTAGCTGAACCCAAAATAAAGCTTTGTGACTCACTATAAGACTAAATAATGGGTTTGGAAATTTTTGCCAATGTGCTGACTAAGAAAACCTTGACCTAAAAACTCTAAACCCATGAAAAGCCCTTTTGAGTCTCTGGGAAAAATTAAAAATGATGTCATTCTGCATGGAGACAGAAGGGATTCAGTTTGTGAGATGTGAGGAGATAACACAGTGTGGATTTGAAGGAGGGGACATTCCGCTCACAGGCCAACATCACAAAAACAAATCCCTATTCTATATAAGAATTGGTCAACAGTTGAATGTCAGATCACTCCTCCCATCCGCTCTGCCTGTGTGTCCACTAAGCTGCAGATTCAATAGCACTGTCCTCCGTTCTGGGAGAAACACATCCTATTGAGAGAGACCTGAGCCGAACACAACTGGCAGACCTTTGCCTATTGAGTCTGGTCAAAACCACAGTTGCAGATCACAAAAGCCCATAGACCTTCAATGGGACGAGAAGTCAAATGTTTGTGAGCTGGCAGGCCTGTGTGTGTGGCCACAGAGCTTGTCTCTATTCAACACCGCGTGGGAGTGAGTGGGAGGGACAGCTTTCTTTCTCAGAGTGGACACAGAGGCTCTACAAAAGACAGACTTCTCCTATGTGGTGTTTATCAGTGAAACCACTTGCTGGAAGTGATGTTTAGTGATAACCATCTTAACCCTGCCTTCTCTCATTTATCTTACTGGGATTCATGTCACATTAGGGTGTCAGCAAAAGGAAGGAACATTTAAACACTAAAAGGCTATAAAAAAATAATCTACTACCACATTATTATGCTGATTTTTGCCTTATATAGATTATGCATGATATTATGTTGTTGAAGCTAAGATGTCACATGATTACTTTAGAGTCACATGGTCTAAGGACTATGACGGAAAATGTTAGCAATGTTCTATCGATTATTACATGTTAGCCGGCCAGGATGATTGCCAGTAGTTTCATACAT